TATTTTTTTTATTTTTTCTAAATAATAAATTAAATTAATAAACCTATTTCCTATTTCTAATTTAACTCTAACTCTTAATTATAATTTTAAATCTAAGCTAATTAATTAAAATTTAATCTAATTTAATTAAAAATAAAAAACTCTAAATTCTAATCTAATTTAAAATTCTACCTCTATTTTAAATCTATTAAAATTCTAAGTTATAAACAAGTTCTACTTTAAATCTATCTAATTAAAATTTTTTAATTTAAATCCTAATTTCTTATTCAAAACTAATTAAAATTAATATAAAAAAAATATTATATTAACCTATCATAAAAAAAATGAAATTATGAAACAAAAATAATGATAAATATATACAAAAAACAAATGCCATGTGGCATACTCTTATTGGGCTAAAAAAAGTAAAAATGCTCGTTTTTGCTGAAAAAATACGCTACGCTGTATAAGCGAGGTAAATTAAAAACAAAGTCGGGCAAATGAGAATTTTGAAAAAGGTAGGACAAATTTGTGGTATGACACACACATAACATAAAACATATCTGAAATGGTTGAAAACTTCTCTGAAATATCTCTTCTGATGGATCACTCTAAAGTATTTTAGTGGCACGAGAATCGTAAACAAATGTAATGGAAAAATGATCTATTTTTATTTATCAAGAAATTATTACAAATCCAGAATAATTTTCATAAGCAAACAGATGCACTACAAATACTACATATCTCAAACTACATCAGGATCAAAACCAGCCATTCGGAGGAAGGTCATCAAGTTCTCACCAACATCTGATCCAATTTCATCAGCTGGATCCTTCTTCTTCTTGAGTTTCTTCATCTTGGAGACAAAAGTCCTTCCTACCATAAAAGCTTCAACAGATGAACCAAACAGTGACTTTGCTTCTTCAGAATTTCTGAGTTTATCATCTTTGTGCTTCTTCCTCTCAACATTACTGGACTTCATAATAGCCTTGCCAACCTCTTAGGAAGAGCCCTTCTTAGAGCTCTTGGATGATTTTCTCATATGTTTTGTTATGAGAAGAGCTATATTAGAATAATGAGGAACGTAACCTTGCTTGAAGCGAAACCCTGCTTATATAGAGAGAGTTTGGAATTAATCAAAATTAGTGTTGTTTATTGTGCACTAATGGACATAAGAGAGATACATATTATTGGTCTTCAAGCACATCTCCCTAGCTTTGACTGCTTTGGGTCTCTCAAATGCTCAGTGTTAAAATCACCTTTGACCATCTCGAATATTGAAGAGATTGTTCCCAACCATTCTAGCCATAATTCTGTCTTTTTTTCTTCTAAATTTTTCCTTTTGAAATCAAAGGGGGAGAAATAAATATGATTTTAATTCATTTTTATTCAAACTTGATAAAATCCCAAACATTGGAATCCATGGATTAGATTTTATGATCCTTGTGCTTATGGCTATTCTCTTTTGAGTTTTTATATTGTTTTCTTTAGTATCTTTTTTATTTCCTTTATTTTTGTTGATGATAAAGGGGGGAGTAGATATAGAAGTATTTAAGTACTTGAATCTGACAGTTATTTTCCATGCTTAAATTCTGAAGATTTATTATTGTGCTTTAAAGTTTAAATTTAATTAACCTGGATAGAACTTAAGGGGAGCTTACAAACCTCACCATATGGATTATTAGACTCAGAGAGAGCTTACAAATCTCAAACCCTGAAGTTAACTTTTTAATTAAATTAACAACCATTGTTCTTAAATACTTGTGTTTGTCATCATTAAAAAAAGGAGAATGTTGGAATAAAATTGATTTTTACCATATCCCTTAGGTTTTGATGATAAAAAAGTAGTTAAATAACAATTGGGTATACTTATATTTGTTCAAATGTGTAGGACCATAGACTAAAATTTCAATAAGAATCTAAGTAATGGTTCTGATAATGAACATCTAAAGAGAAACTTAAAGATCATAAATCAACATTAAAGATCAAACTCTGAATAGGTTAACGTCTAAAGACCAGAGTCTGAAGAAGTCAGCCTCTGAAGACTATACTTTGAAGAAGTCAACCTCTTCTGGTCAGAACCTGAAGACTAGTTAAAGCGCAAAGATCAAGGTGACTTTGATAGGTCAATGTCAGACTCTGAGCCTACTTTGTCTTCTTTTAGCCATGTGAAGAACTAAGTTTTTTCTTCATAGAGTTGGGTAAGATGCAACTAATAATTCCTCTTGTAGCAAAGAAATTTCAAACAAGCTTTCAATGATATTAACCATTTGAAGAAACATCTCAACGTCTCTATTCAAACTTCTCAAACACTCTTGTGCAAGATCTTCAACGACTCTTTTCCTTCTCTATTTAAAGAGCTGAATACTTGAAGGACAAATATGAACCATTGACATTCAAAGAGCTGTTACTTTTTCAAAACTAAGCATAAGTTTAACTTAGGCTTTCTTACCTTTGTATATTCTAAAAATCCCTAAGTCTTAAAGAGTGTTCTTGTATTGTATTTTATCTACACCTTTGATTGTATATCAAGTGTTTACCCCAAAAAATCTTTTATCTGTTAGGTAGATTGTTATTAGTCTCTTACTTAGTGTTTGAACATTTGAAGTCTTTTTCTTGTGTACTTGAGCATAGAAGTCTTTGCTTATGTGCTTGAGAATTGGAAGTCTTTTGCTTGTGTGCTTGAGCATAAAAGTCTCTTACTTTGTGTTTGAGCATTGGAAGTCTCTTGCATGTGTGCTTGAGCATATAAGTCTCTTAATTTGTGTTTGAGCATTGGAAGTATCTTGCTTGTGTGCTTGAGCAAATTGTAATCTTGTGCGATTTTAGTAAAATTCTCATGTAATCACAAGGGGACTGTATTACTCTCAGTTTGTGAGAGAAACCAGGATAACTTTGTGTGTCTCTCTTCTTTCTTGCATTACTTATCCGCTTCCTACCCCTTACCTTTGATTCAGATTCTATACTTTGTGTTTAGAATCTGACTAGAGTTTTAAAAGGAAAGAAAAAGTCTAACACAATTAAACCTCCTCTTTTTGTGTTTTTCTCACCTTCAGATTAATAGTATTCTGCATTTGCCTTGTCTCTCCATTTCCATTAATGGTGCCCTTCACGACTTTTTCAAATGCCCTAGGGGTTCATCATAGAAACCCTCCATCTCCATTGTTTTTCTGCCTAGGTAGATGAAGATGTTCTCAACAGAAGTATATCATTGTTGGTGACTACGAGCATATTATATTTGATAACATGTCCTAGGAATCTCAAAGTTCCTTCTCACACATTCTATACAAAAGACATTTTTATATTTTGTAAAGGCAATACCTCAAACATAATGGCTCGCGCATCTGTCTTTGGTTCTTATTCCCTTACTCCTGGTGAAGTAATTAACCAAGTAAAATCTTCCATGCATTCTAGTGCAATGTCTCTTTCAAGACTCAATATTTTAACTGCGCTAAATGGTTTCAGACGAGGTACCATGCATTTTAATTATCTTGGGTGACTCCTATATAATTGAAGACATTCCTGTGAACCCTTTTATTTTCAATTAGTAGTTGAATCTAGATGGGATAACTCCTCCTATTCCAGATTTCTTAAAACACAAGATTCATAGATGCCTTATTCCCTTTGACCTCAGACTGGATAAAATGATATGGAATTAATCTCCTACTAGTGAATTATCCCTTAAGCAAGCTTATGAGTAAAAGAGATATTCAGGTACTACTAAAGGTTAGTGCAAGTTTGTTTGGTCTAAACATTTACCCTCTTCTAAATCTTTTCTAGTTTGGAGGATTTTATTAAACAAAATCCCAATTGACGAGCAGTTAAAGATGACAGGTTGCTTTTTTCCTTCAAAATACAGCCTTTGTAACATCAATGAAGAATCCTCTTCCCACTTGTTTTTTTTATTATATCTATGTTTCCAAACTCTGGTTTTGGTTGTCCTCTATTTTGAACCTTCATTCTCGCATCCATAATTGGAAAAGGTTTGAAATATTTGTAGTAGGGTTTGGTCTACACGTTGTGCACCGGTGGTTAATGTTGCGATTATTCATCTGTTAAATGCAGTTTGGATAGCTAGAAATAACGTTAGATTTAAAGAAAGTTCATTCAGTTTTCCTACTCCATCAATTGTATTTTAGTTGCATACTCTATTTGGTAATTCTGTAGATGTAGCCTCGCATGTTGGTATACAAGACTTTGCGGTTTTGAAAAACATCATGGTCAGTATTTTGCCTCCCAAAGCCCTTAAGATTCTGGAAGTTTTATGGCATTCGCCTCCCTGGAGTTGAATTAAAGTCAATTGTGTGCTTCTTTAAATAACTTGGTAATCTCAGCTTGCGGTGGTATTTTCAAAGACCATAACGATTGTTTTCTTGAAATTTTCTCTAATTTTTTTGGTGTCTCTAATTCTTTCATTGTTGAATTCTCAGGTGCTATGAAAGTCATTAAGGTTGCCAATGAGAATGGCTGAAATCTGATTCTATTGCGGTGGTATACACTTTCAAGCCTCTTTTTAAAGTAGAGTGTATTAGCAAATTTGCACCATATAATATCCCTTCACATATGTTTTTTATTATCTCACATTTTAAGATAAGTGAATAGTTGTGTATATTCTCTAATTTAGATCTCACTATTACAGGTTCGCTGCCTTTATGAAAAAACGGGATAGATATCTCTTATGAGGTTTGTTTCCCGCCGAGAGGATTTTGGTATAACCCTCCCTCTACTTTTTACTCCTTTTTCTTTTTCTTTTTTTATATTTAATCTTTTTTTTTTTGCAAATATTTAATCTTTTTTTTAAAATAGTGAATAGTTCTCAACAGAAATGAGGCGGAAAAGGGAATAGAAACAGTACATAACAAATAATAACACAACCAGAAAATTAACTGAAAATTTAAAATTCACATGATGGAAGAAGGTCTTTAAAATATTCAAATGCAGAAATTAGTTTGTTATAGATTTCAGTACATTTATTGCAAAAGGGATCACAAGACAGAGTTTGGATAAGCCCTAGGAATCATCTATATTATCCATTTAATTTGGCCTGATTGTTCCATCCACGTCTGTTGCACATGAATCAATGTGAACCATTCAGAATCCTGAAACCAAAATTTCATTCTTAGCAAAAATTTAAAGATAACGTATTAAAAATAGAACATCATTTTTACTATTGGCAATTACTTTACATCTCCGTAATTATAAAATGTCGTTCAAAATGATCTCTCTGTTAATTACTATCACTAGAGGTAATGCCGTGATACGTTAACCGGATTATGTGCAAATATGTCACATTACACGTTGATCTCACGTCAATGCTAGCTAGCTCACCAGAGACTAATTTGTCGATGATATTTGTGTTATCCTAGGGATAAATTTGCCAGTAATTGCTATTGTGCAAGAACTAACTATCGACAAATTTGTCTCTGGTATAATGGCATTGATGTGGAGTCAACAAGGAGGTGTTTGATATTATGTTAATGTGTCTTGTCATAGTCCCCTACCCGTAAAGATTTACAGAAGAACTATTTTTGACAGACATTTTTCAATTTCAGAAATGTTTTTACTGAAGCTTACAATTTTGAATATCACAATTGGCCTATTCACTCCATAAAAATACTTATGCATTACACTCACCTTTCTTAGTACGGAAGTGACCACACAACCATGGCGCTCTTCACCTGGAAGTTGGCAAGTCCGGTAGTTAGAGGCAAGATATGCACAGCAAAAACTGTTCTAACATAACAAGAGGATAAAATATCCAATTGATTGATTTGAGAGATACACAGAAGAAGGAAATGAAATGAACATAAACAATAAAAAGCAAAGAAAACTCATACCGTCTAACTCCCATTTATCAAACTTCACTACCCATGCATCCGGACTTATCTGTGTAGCCGATACATTATCCACCCATATCCGAAACTGTTTCCCCTGTTTGTCACCATACACCTCTCTGAAAATATTTATATACTCCCTAAGATTATGGTCAAAACCAGAAGGGAGGATAATAACACCTGTTGGATGCTTCACATTAAAAAATAAATTAGACACTTCTCGAGAAGTAAACTACTAAATAAAGACTTGAAAATGAAAAAAGTTTGTGTCAGAGTGATTTAGTAGAATAATAAAGCACTCAGATCCAGAAATGAGAAAATGAGACAGGAAAACTGAATATTTGTTGGTATTCTAGAAAAGAGACGCTTATGCCAAAACAAGATATAATTCATCAACTGCTTGTAGAGTCAGCAGCAGAAAAAACTTACCAAAGCAAAGTGAACAATGTACCTAATGCCTTAATTAATGGATGTAAAAATTGCACAAATTTAGTGCTTCTAGAGATATAGATGATAATAGTATTATAATTAATATCAGATTTTTCTTTTCAATTTCCTATTTGTAAACACAGATCTTGCTTGTCTATGAAATAGAAACAATGCAGAAAAAAGGAATTCAGTAAAAGCATTTTGAACTACATTTTAAATACCCTGCAGTTTGCCAACGCATATAGAGCACACAATAGATAACCTGTAAAAGTAAAGGATATCAATCATACAGTGGCTGCCTTTAGACCAGCAATAATCAGCTCCGAGTTCTCAATTTCTCCACGCCTCCACTTTTCACTTAACAAGCAAAAGTTCACTATTTCCTGACTCGGGGTTGCATTTTCAACATTATGTTCTTGTGCAATGTCTGGAACATCTCTTGGTGACAAGTTTGGGCCCAATTTAAAATGACCTATGGCTTGTATAATCCCAGATGCACAGCGCTCCGAAGCATGCAGAATCTTAGGGTTATCTTTTGCATTTTCTGCGTGCCACTGCAGCAATTCCTCTTGGGCGTTGCTTACCTACACAGTGAACAGAAACAGATGCATCATGCAAGAAAATAAAAAATTTAGACTAATTTATAAGATGGTGATAAAAAAGTTAAACTACCAACCATGACACCATAAACTCCTGGAATGCTGAATAGCTCTGCATCATTTCCGGAATCACCACAAACAAGGGTATTACCAGGTAGCTTTCCCTCCTTCTCAAACTTTTCAAGCAAGTAGGCAAGAGCTTGACCTTTACCAGCACCTTTTGCTAATATATCCAAATCAACTCCTCCACTATATATTATTTTAACATCCAACTGGCCAAAAATTAAGCAATGTTAACAATATTTTACATCCAAAGTAAGATGACAGAAAATCCAACAAATATAAGATAATTTTCACGAATTTCAGGAAATCATTTCTTAAGAAAACAACGAATATTAATGCATTATAGCTTACCCCGCGCTGTTCCAAAACCTTAGAAAGAGCCTCTGTCACTTGCTTAGCATTTTCTTTCTTTACATAAAAGCTAACTTTGTGTGCCCGTTGTTCGGTTTCTGCCTGCACTACCAATCATTCAATATATAAATCAAACCATTCTAAGTTGCCATTGCTACCTTAAACTAATAGTGAAATAATCAGAAAATCATAGCAAATGCCACGGGGAGTTCCTGCATTTCTGCATCATGGTTCATAGAAAACAATACATCAATAATAGCAACAACCAAGCCTTATCCCGGATATGGTTATCCCACTAAGTGGGGCCGGCTACATTGATCAACTTTTGCGATAATGTTCTATCATGGACCAAGTCCAAATAAAAGGAGAGGGTTGTGTTAGGCAGTAGACATCGAACGTAAAATTCTGTCGAATCTCTGACATGGTTCATAGAAAACAACGAACAAGCAAATCACATTGATCACCTACTCATATAATACCTGAGGAGTAAGTTCAGGAAACTTGCTTGTCTCCTCAATGACTATATTCTTGTCCCATTTCTGGTTCAAAAACTGAACCCAACCATCATCGGGAACCATCAATTTTCCATAAGTAATCTCAGTTCCCACAGACGTGATGGTTATATCTGGAGTTATCATAGGCTTCTCTTTCCTCAGCTGTTTGTAGAGTGTAGGTGACCTTCCAGTTGAAAACACGAGAAGAGAATCGTGCCGATAAGCGGACTCCCAAAGCGCATTGAACCTCAAAAGCGAACTATTCTCAGTGTCATGATGATCAACCTACCATCAGAAACATGTATCAAGTTATCAACAATTCAAATCAAATTCCACTAAGAACAACAACAACAATAACAATACCATTGTGTGATCGAGATCCGAAACAATCATGAGGCGCGCAGAAGACATAAGCCGATCCATGAGATTCAATCCCTAATTTGATCCTGTGAAAATAGAAATTCAACAAATAATATGTAATTTCAAATTCTTTCGGAACAAAAAAACAAAATAATTATTAATTTGAAATGGTAAGAAAGGATGAATACAAAACTGCGTAAAGCGAGATGAAATGGAAGATGATAATTGGATGATGATGATGATGAATACCTTGGTGGCGGTGAAGTGGAAGCAATGTTGGAATGGAAGAAGAAGAAGTGGTAGTGATTGATGATGAGATTGTTTTCGGTAAGAATTGAGTGATGCTGAAATGAGAATGAAAAAGATGCGAAGGAATAAGAATAATAACTAACAGGAATCGGTTCCAATTGCCGCTTCTTGTCAGTGAGGGAAGGTTGTTCACTCTCACATAAATTTAGAGATAGAGTTTATGCCATCTGGCCATTTCAGTAGTTATTATTTTTTTAGTTAAACTATTTTACTATGAGAAGAAATTAAAAATTTTTTTTTTACTCAATGGAATTCTTACACACCATGTAATTTTTTATATATATTTTTAAATTTTAGAGATATATTTTCAGACGCATTAAAATTCAATTGAACGTTAAAATATTTCGAAAATATATCTTTGGATGCACAAAAATTTAAATGAACGTTGAAATATTTCGGAGATATAATTCCGAAACAATTTGGAGTATATTATCGCGCCTGACTCTTCTCCTCCCACACATTTTCATTTTCATTCACAAACCACTTCATCTCTCTCATTCCCAAATATCTCAAACTTTACCAGATTTTATCTCATCTGTCAAAAGTTCAAGTAATCATCAAGCAGTATCCAGTACATTACTCAACATCTTCCAAATCATATAATTTGGGTAAGTTTTTCGTGTTTTTGATAAACATTCGAGTATTCTTGTAAACGAGTTAGAATACATTGTTAAGTGTATAAATGTTTATAAATCAGCTGAAACATAGTTTAAAGTAAGTGCATATATTATTTGTTGGCTCAAATGGACGGCCAGAGCTTCAAATTTCTCATTATGAGGGGCAGAGGACGCCATTGTCGCGACCTCTGAGTTTCAGAAAATTCCAGAGATACATCTCCAAAAAAATTCAACGTTTCATGTACTCTGGGTTATTTCAGAGATACATCTGCGGAATGTTTCCGTAGTTGTATCTCCGGAATCACCTAGAGTACATGAAACGTTGAATTTTTTTAGAGATGTATCTCCGAAATTTTCTCAGTTTAACCGTTTCTGAGTTGAGTGACCTATGCTTGATCGGTTACTGTTTGGTCAACCACGGGATGCTTAATGCATTCGTGGAGCGATGACACCCTGAGGCCTCTTCCTTTCATCTCCCACATGGTGAGATGTTGATTACATTGGACGATGTCTCGTCTTTGTTGCATCTACCGATAAGGGGGAGATTCCTCAATCATGGTAGGATGACCAAAGACGAGGCGGTCGATATGATGGTCGAGCATCTAGGGGCTGATCTAGGGAAGATGCTCAAGGAGGTGGATAGGACCATAGGTGCTCATGTTAGGTTTTCGTTCTTGAAGGAGAGACTTTATGAGGTGCTCGTTGCTACAGAGCAGGCTGATGGTGATTCCGAGGAGGTGAACATACACAGGACTCATGCTTTAAGGGCATATTTTCTATTTTTAATCGGCACTGTGATTTTTGTGGACACAAGTACCACCTACACTGACGTTGCATACTTTCGGTAATTCTTTGATCTCACACGCATCCATGAGTACAGTTGGAGGCGGCTTGCCTTGCATATATGTATTCAAAGCTGAGAGATGGATGTCGGTGGACGATGAAGCATACCACAGGCAACACAACACTACTGGTGGTAATAATTTTTTACCCTTGAATGTTTTTTTAAATCTTTTTCATTACATATTTACGATAATTTTTGACCCCTGAATGCTTTTTATTTTCATTTCAGGCTTGGATCCTCCAGCACTTCTCGCACACCGCTGGTTGGCCGTATTGGGATAAGTACACTAAGAAGATGCCCCGTGCCCGTGCTTTTATCCCGCTGAGAGGGAACTAGTCGACCGAGCCTTTTAGAGTCTTCTTGACCGCTTGGCTGCCGAGGACATCCACTTCAATTGCTAAGTGGATTACCGTCAGATGCGGCCATTTGACGGCATATTTTTATACTCCGGATGGTTGGCCTACTGATCGAGTATCATTGCTCCTCATCTGCCCGAGCGCGTCATGCGGAAATTCGTGTACACCCAGACCATCCCCAGACACCCTGATGTCTCTGCTCCTCCTGCCTTGACTCGTATACATATTAACGAGTGTCATACCCCAAATTTGTCCTGCATTTTTTCAAATTTTCATTTGTCTGACTTCATTTTCGTTTCTACATCTCCTGCATTGCATAACTTATTTTTCAGTATGAATAATTCCTAAAATGATTAGTCAGAATAAATCTCTTGGATATGTAGACAGACTGGTCAAATTGCGTCTCAAATATACGAGAAAAATCAGTGATTGAAAAGTTTCAAATTAAAGCTTGCAGACGTCAGTGATTTTGACCTACTTTCCATAAAGCTTGACCTAGCGCGCTCGTCTTACCTCTCAACAAATTTTCAGTCACTTTTGATCGATCTGAGCCTTTTTACCGCTCCGGGTCAATTTTCATGTTTGACCAGACGTTGTATTTCTCCGAGTCATTTATTCCATGCTAATCCTTTGGATGAGGTCGGTTGAATTTTTCAGGCATCTTTGTCGCCCGATTTCTGTTCATTTTTCACCCGACTTATTTTTATATTTTCATCAAAATGTATGTAATAATTAATTAGAATTTTTCATGCTTGCATTTTATTTTTTATCATGTCTATTTAATAAGTTGTGAATTTTAGTGGTTTTTAATTGATTTAATTCTATTAAATTAATTAAGACTTCTAGAAATGACAACTTTGGCATTTTAAATTAAGTGTGTTTCTTTTATTACATATGGATCATTAGATTTAAATTTAATCAAGGGTGAACATGCATTATCCTCACTTTTCCTCATTAGCCAATCATATTTTACCATTTTATTTTATTTTGTTTAATTGATAAAAAAATCAGAAAAAATATAAACATCTTTATTCATGTCATTAAGACATTTGTCCAACTTCAATTGAGTGGTTTTAAAAATTTGTGTCACCTTGTCTAATTATAGGATGACACTTGGTTTGAGGGATTGGCAATAATATTTTAAATAATAAAAGGAATAATATTAATATTTAATTAATTAATAAAAATTAAATTAAAAAAGAAAAAAGAAAAAAGAAAAGGATAAGAGAGGGGGGCTACTCTCAGCATTGTTTTGGAGAACAAAAAGGGGAAAAGAGGTGGGGACAAAAAAAGGAGAACGAAGGTCTTCCTCTTCTCCTTCATTTACTCCCTCCGTTGCGCCATTTCCACCACCAAACCACTCCATTCGCCAGCGATTCAACTGTAATTCTAAACCCACCATGCTGCTCTTTCCGCCTACAACCACCTTCACTTCATTCTGAAATACTCCCCCCACCGCACTGCTAGCCCTTCAACAGACTCAGAATCTTTCATTTCCGAGAGACTCACCTTAAACCACCAATAAAACCTTCGTTTCTGGAGAAATCCATCTTGTCCGACCATTAAAATTTCTCGCATGAGGTTCCGTAGTAACAACACTGATCTGACCTGATCAAAAGGGGAACAATGGCCTACCATGCATCGTCGATCTGCAAGCTGCTCACAAGGAATATGGACGAGGAGGGGGTGTGCCTGCAAGACACTTAGATGCCAAAGTAAGTAATGGACCAGAGTGGGAGAAAATACAGAAGAGAGGTTAAGAAGAGAATACCTGAGCCTTTTGTGAAAGAGGGTATTTATAGAGAGACCCTAGTGCAAGACCAACAGTCATTTGTGTTGGGCTGGATTGTCAGGCCCAACCCAGGTGACTGATAGGGCTTACGTGGCATAGTGAAGACCAGCACGTGGTCTTTGCCCTAGTTCACCCGTCCCGTGATCTCCGGAAGGTGGGTTGACCATCTCTTTTGGAGGTGGGTAGTTGGATGATGACGTGTCCCCGCGGAGAGGAGCACGTGGAGAACGTGTGGAGGACACGTTGTTCTGCCCCACAGAGGAAGCATCCTGCTTGATGGAGGAAGCGTTCTAGTTGACGGGAGCACCTGTGCTCGACATCGGGGCAATTTGGGCCTAGTGGGCCTTCCCCAAATGGCGTGGGGCTGGGCCTTCCCGGTTAGGCTTAGGCCCAGTCCAGAACAGGAGCCCCCCAAGTCGTAGCTCCAAAGTGAAGGAGCGAGGACTTGATGTTACTGCGCCAGGGAGGAAGGATGTGCGAGGAGGGTCCCTGGAGAGACTGTTGTCTTGAGGGTAAAGAACGCGAGGAGGAACTTGGTCGGTCTGACTTGTCGAGGGTGCTGGAGCGCGGGAATCTCGGTCTTGTCGAGCAATCAGGTTGAGGAGGTGGCGGATGGTACATCCACGCCTGCCCGTCCTTGCGGGGAGACCTAAGGGACGTGACTGTTTTTGATGCCAGGTGTTCAACAACCAGTGGGCCACGCGGGGCGGCTACCCTAGGGTACTTGAGTGTCTAGGGGCGCTCCGAGTCCCGTGCTGAGGGTATAAATAGGCAGGCCGCTACCCCTTTACTATTTTCGCTTTCGCTTACTTATGCACATGCTTGATTGAAGTCCGCGCTCGCATTTGTTCGCCAGCACCGCCGCAACCACCACCGTGTGCACCGCCGTTACATCTAACTCGATAAGTTCCCCTTCTCCCTATCTTTTCCTTGTTTTACACTTGAATGCTGGTGTCGGGGCGTGATGAATGACCCAAGGAAGGATAGGGCCCTCTGCCGCACTCGGCGACTGGTTTTTAGGTTTAGGATGAAGATCTCGAGGACGTTCTAGGGGGTAGAGTGAACACCCCGAGGACAGGCATTGATTTTAGATGGGTGTCCCGTGGATGCATGATAGAATTAGATGCACGCCCCGGGGGCAATGA